GATAATACCTTTAAATTAGATGATTTCTAAAGCTCATCTCGGTTCTGCATCATCTGCTTCATTATGAGTAAAATTGGGTTGTTCAATCCATAGAGCGTCGAATTTGCATTCGAGATGTCCGGGTTCGAGAAGTCTGGGGGTTTCGGTCAGAGTCATTCGCCTTCCTTCCTACCGAGGTTGACAAATTATTACTTCTCTGTTGGAGGTAAACAGAATGTTACACTGCACATGTTCTTGTCGCATACCTGGCGTCGACTCAACGTTCAAAATACAAGGCATTTCTGACTGATGGCAGAAAACGGAGACCATCGAGCCGCCAATAACTCATTGAAAAGAAGGTCGACAGAAATGTCTCCAGCATGAAAGTGTAAGGAAAGCCGACCTTCCAACGGTTACAAACTTTCTTTTTTTCTTCTTTCCCTTCTTGAGCCACACTCGTACTTGAGTGGCTCTAGACACAAAGCATGAACCGAATATTGGTCATTAATAGATTTTCCGACATTTAGAACAAACATCATTGACTATCTTCAAGGAAAACAGTGCCGTTTCGTTTAAACGTCGGCAGTTCTTAGGAAAAATTTATGACCACAATAATAAATATTACGGCATATTCAGGGACAGACTTCTTGCTATAAGAGACAAGTGTGTTACAAAATGAGTGCGTAGATAATGATCAGGGTCGGTAAAGAAATTCTTACAAAGCATAGTCGCACCCCTTAAGACACAGATGGCAGTGGTAGCTTGTCCAGTTGGACTTCCAACACGGCAGCTGAAAATATTGAGCATGGATATGATGAACATTTGTTTGACATGATAGGTCGCTGAGGTGGAAGTGGGGGGGAGGGGTTACATTACTGCATCAAAATGAGTAGCAGATTTTGGTTCACTCTTTTCGCACCCGCATATATTATCTTATACTTAGTACACATGGGCTCAAAGTTGTGCTAGCTTTTGACGTCACTTTCAAACAATCAATTTTTCTCTTTCCCTCAATAGACACGTTACAAATCAAGTCACCTGCGAAAAAAAAGATCGAGGCCGAGAATGACGACCGCCTAACCCTTTGTTTCGACCATTGTTAGATGGGAAAAGTTGAATGACGGCATCCGTTTTCTTCGCTGGTTTAACTTCAACACAGTTCAACCGAATTTCCATGACCCCATCTCCTTTCAGGTCGCGTAAGCACAATCGTAAGATAGTGCTTCCAACATTTTGCATCACGTGCCATCATTTGAGCTTCGGCAGGAGATAACCGGAGCCTAGACCCTAGTCCTTCGTTACACTTGGCCCAAATTTAACCTAGCCATCCACAGAGTCTTCTGCCGGTCGGTTGGGCAAGAAATAGTTGCCTCGCCTTCCTTTAAGGTATTTGGGGCACACATCCAAGCCATTGCAGCCGCGACTTCTCAATCTGAAGTAGCAGCGGCGGTAAACCAACGCTTTCTCGGATTTCTGTACTCCGGACAATGTCGATGAGCGTAAGGCCAGCGACTAGTCTGAGAAACCCCATATCAACCGAAGTTCTTCACTCATGACTCACGATTTTTACTATTTGTGAGCATGCGAATGAAGATTTAATACAATACCGAGGGCTTAGTCTTCAGACCCAGCTCTGCTTTAGCCACAAAGGTTCAGACTAGTTCACTAGTCACTGTAGAACGTTACTGACTACACCATTTCGCCGGTCGATCTCTTCCTCAAATTTTCCATCACTAGTAATTACGACTCCGAGGTACTTGAGCCTTTCCACCTGCTCCACTGCCTCTCCGTCAATCTGAAGAGAACAACGGGCAGGAGAACGAGAAGCACTAGACTTTTCCTTTTAGATACGTTCACACGCACGCCGGCCACGTTGCACTCGGCTACGAACCTTTAAGGAAAGCACTGAAGATCAGTTTCAGAAGATGCCAATAAAATAGGGTCGTCCGCAAACACATCTTTTACACCGAAACGCCCAT